GCCAAGGCCGAGTTGCAAAGAAATGGATGGAAGATTAGATGCATGCACATGTGAGAAGTGAAAGAATAATGCTTTGGGGAGGGGAAAAACTGGAGAATGCTGACGTACCCTTTCGTGCTCTTTTTACAGCAGTGGCTTCTTTGTTATCTTCAGGAGAGTAAATGCTACTAGCTGATTCCAGAATGTCTGCTGCTGCTGCCTATGCTCAAGAGGCACTTTTGGTGGCGGGAGTTGGCTTACAGTACAAAGATACTTACAGAACTTCAGCAGCCTTAATAAAGTGCTTTAGTGAAAGCCTAGCTCAGACACTAAGAATTGAGAAGATTCTTGGCATTTTTCGGGCACCATTAGGGGCTGGTGCTAACAAAAGGAGTTGCTAGATTTCCCCCCCCCCCTTGGGAGGGGAAAGGGACACAGCTTTTATAGATATAATCCACATTAAGATTTGATTTCTGTCCATATCTAGAGGAAATTCTCTTTTAGGTAGTTGACTCTGAGCTGAAGTCAATTGGACTAATCACATACTTAAAGTTAGGCAGGTACTTAAATACCTTGCTGAATCATGGCCCTTTTCAGAACTAAGAAGAGGAATGGAACAGGAGCACAGTCTAATAGGGGTGTTGCTTATCTTCAAATCAGCCAATCACGTAAGAGGATTTTCTCTAATGTGGAGAAAAAAAATCAAGTCTTATTCAAGTCTTAATTTGGGCTATATGTACATATCAATGGGATGTCCTCAAAGAGAGGCATGCACATAGCTAAACTGGGACCTATAAACAGAAATCCCTACTGCACAACGTGAAATCCAGAAGCAAATCACACTCCCTCTCGACAACTAGTTAAAAGAATCTTGCCCACATGCTCAGGGTTCAGCTGATCGTCATATTTGGGATTGGGAAGGAATTTTTCTCCAGGGCAGATTGGAAGAAGCCCTGGGGGTTTTTTCGCCTTCCTCTGTAGCATGGGGCACGGGTCACTTGCTGGAGGATTCTCTGCACCTTGAAGTCTTTAAACCATGATTTGAGGACTTCAATAGCTCAGACATAGGTGAGAGGTTTATTGCAGGAGTGGATGGGTGAGATTCTGTGGCCTGCATTGTGCAGGAGGTCAGACTAGATGATCATAATGGTCCTTTCTGACCTTAATATCTATGGTTACATCTCAGACTTAGCTACCCCCCTTTTTGATGCACATCCCCCCCCAAAGGATCTTGAAGAATCCTAATTACCTGGGCAACCAAGGAAAAGAAGTTTAAGGAGACCGACACCAATGGGTGCAGTACGCACTCTTTCTAGAGAAGGGCTAAGGCAGGAGGAGCCAGGCTTCTAGCAGCTAGAGATGGAAAAGCCTAGTAGATCTAGTCCACCCTTCCCACCCTTGTACTCCTTGGGAGTGGCTGAGTAGGGCCTATGGGGTGTGACTGGGGGAGGAGCAGGGAAGAGGTCTCTCTTCATGGCACCCTCCCCTACTCAACTGCCTGATTTCTTTGGTGAAAGCCAGATGGGTGGAGTTATGACAGCTTGGAGCTGGGGGACCCAGCCAGTCGGACCACAAGGAGGGTCAGCTGTCCAGGCAGGATAGTTCTTATCAATTACTGCAGCAGAACTATGTGATCTAGAACGTTTGGACACCCCCCTCCCGCCCTCCTCAAGCCTTTCAAGGGGACGATTTACAGGATTGCCCATGACCTCAACCTCACTGAGTTTCCCTACCCCTCTGGTCTGCTCCTGCTGGCTTATCCATGGAAGTAGGTGGCATAATGGCCCTGAGCAAAGACTGCAGGATTTGGGCCCTTCAGGTGGAATTCACCCCTGTGCAGATGTTATACCAATAAAATAAAAACCAGCACAATCTTATTAAAGGGGAAAAGGCAAAATACCACATTTATTGTGAATACAGAAAGAATCATAGTAGCAGTTAGTTATAGCTATAACATTCCATTCAATCTCATATTTATTCTCTCTCACACACACACACACACACACACAGAGAAAGAGAGAGATTCTGCAAGGTTGCTATCATAGTTACCAGCCTTAGAGTTGCTCATGCCAAGCCACTGGCCAGGTGGCCTGGACATGAGGAGGGAGCAGGGCCTTGTCTGATGCTCCTGGAAGTTGGTTTGCAGAATCAGACCCCAAAGTTCTCAGTTTCTAGAGTCCATTTTTATAGGAATTTCTTCCTATGCCAGTCTATGGGAATTGCTTCATCATGCTGTTGCTGAATCAATCAGCAGATGGCACATTCCTGATGGCTCCGTGCTGCCAGATGTTATCTTGTTCTTTGGTTCTCCCATTCTTGAGGCTGTTGGGTGGATTCCAGTCTGCCCTCCGGGGGTCCTCTGGTTATTTCCACTTGACGCCTTCTTCAGCCGATGGACACTGGATTCTTAGGCTGGCACCTCCCTGATCATTCAGTTATTATCCACACCAAGCATCCATCCACATACATCCTCTATCTCTATTTTAATCACAATTGTTAACAAAGCGAGATGAATACAACAAAAGGGCAGGGAGTCTCTGGGTGCTGTTTCTGTTGTTACAGAGTATTGCTTTGAGTCTCTCTCTGTGTGAGTTGTTATTACAAAGAATTGCTTTGAGAACAGACTCTGTCTTAGAATGTACTAACGCAATTAGCAGCTTGCAAGTTTCACACATAGAGGGAGAGAAACAGTACCAAAAACCAAGAGACCTCTTAATTAGTAATACCCTGGAATTTAAACTATGGGGAATCAAACTCATTTGTGATTTTAATACAGAACTTCTTTAATATGATCCAACACAGAGACCTAGGTCTGGTTTTGCCTCTCTGCAGAGCTGTGAATAATTATGAAGCATAGAGCCCAATCCTTGTAGACGAGGGGATTTTTGGAAGGAGTGGGACAACAACTTAAATCTGCTGTAGGTCACTGCACTTTGGAGCAGGACCCACCCAGAAAAGATGGCCATGGGCATCAGCTGGTGCGACTGGTGCAGCCTCAATGCAGTGACACTTATGTCCACCAACTGTGGTTCACTCCTTTTTGCTGCAGTCAAACCCACCTGTGGGGGCATCTCTTTGCCCCAGCACTTGATGGCATACACTGGGATTTCCCAACAAGGGATTTCACTTTCCACCCACTGACAATAAAACCGATGTGGAGACATTTTGCACAGACACCTTTCCCCCTCCACTAAAAAAAAGGAAACTGTTATCACTGGTTGCTGTTATATGGAATATATGGGCCCAAAAGGTCAAAGGTATTAGCATGACCCTGTGACATTAAACAAGGTTCAGGGTTTGGTATACAGAGACCTCAGCTTGCTTGGTACCATCACTAAGACACCACTAAAAATTCCTTTAACCTTTTATTAAAGATAGCCGAAGAAAACAGAAGCCAATTTGAATGCATTTGAAATGCACACTATTAAATAAGGCTTTTCTTTTGAACAACATTCTTTGTTCCCTTTCCATTTAGCTGGAGAGAGTTTTTTGCAGGAAACTCCTCTGAGAGGGTATTAGAGATGGTACATACTGTCCTTTTGGGGAAAAGAGAAGAAGTTAGCGGGGAGAGGCTGGAGCTGCTCTTGTTACTGCTGATGCTATTTCCTAGAAGACAAACACACACCAAAGTGGGGAAAAAAGAGAACAGGAAAGACAGAAAATGCAGCTTCTGTCTCCAGTTTTGATTCTTACTGCTGAAAAAGCACAGACCCAGCACAAGGTCTGATCAGCACCTCTGAGACCTGACAAACTCATACCAGCAGTGGGCTGTTTAGGGCATTGCATTTAGCTGCCTCTCTGGTCACCACTTACAATAGCGATGCTAAATATACAGTCTTGGCTGGCCAAGCCAGGCTCTTATTAGACAGGAGGAAAAAGGAGAGGGCTAAGAAAGAAAAGTAATAAGGTAGGAAGGAAAAGGGCACATGGGTTGGGTAGGGGGGACAACACAGTTTCACATCCCAGGTAGTATTTGGGATTTAGTTGGAGCTAGTGGAGATGGTGATGTCATCTGGCCCGACCAGAACATCTCTCAAGATTAAGATGAAGGGGAGCTGGGGACCCAGGAGACAGTGGGGGTGGCAGCCATGATGGTGAAGCTCACTCCTTCCCCTTCTGTCATCTTTCAGTCAGTCAGCTAGCATTGGGGTAGCCAGCTTTCCCTTCAAGTCTCTTTATGAGGACCCCAAAGGGGAGCTGTGGATTCCCTCATTATTTGGTTAATCAATTAGACCTAATTTTCACCACCAATTTTGGTTCACTGATTTCTGGTCCCACGCGTCTCTTGTTTACCAGGCATGATCTTAACACCAGCTGTGGCTCCTTTTCCCATCAGTGTGCATTGTTATAGCTTATCGTGACACCTCACAAACTTATAGCCACTTTCCCACCGTTTTTACAGTGAGTTTACACCAAGGGTAAAGGTGGAGGCCCGTTTATCAGCAGATTGCCCGTAACATTGTTAACCGTCTGGTTACTGTACATTCATAGCAAGCAGCAAGGCTGCAAATAGATCACTCAACAGTTCAATCCACTGAAAAACTGCCCTCTCCCTGTGTTACCATGTGCAGTAATTATCATTAAGGGACCTGATTTTCCAGTGGGAGCCAGATTGGGCCCTCAGTCCTGTTTAGAGCAGGGATTTTCAACTGACGTTAAATTATATGTCCTTTGACATCAATTGATATTAAGCAGGCACAGTTGTACTGAATGAGTGCAGACTGATTTGGTGCATGGAGGGGTTTTCCCCCCACCCACCCAGGGGCAATTGAGAGGGCTCAGCAACCTCACAAAAGCTTGGCTGCCTTGGGGGAGGGCTAGTTGCATCTGGCCACCGCTTTGGATTCAATTCCCTCTCTCCCTCTCAGTGTTTGCATTCTGTTTGCGTGGGGGGGGAATATTCAGTCTAGCCAATATGTGGCACCAGCGGCCAGAGCAGCTCTCTTGTAGAGCCCCACATGTAATTCTGATTGGCTGTAGCTATGCAGGTCTGTCTTTCACTCTCTTTTTTCTCTTTCCCTCCCCCCCTTTTTTCTTCCCTCTGTTGCTGTGCGGAGTTCAGTTCTGGCACAGCAGGAGCATCATGGATGAGATGCTAGCAACAGATGCTGTGCTCCAGGACTTGCATTCGTAGGGTTTATTTAAACCTGGTCTGAAGGGGAAAGAAGGCAGGGGAAAAAATCCCCAACCTAAAAAGAAGAACAATCCTCGTCCGTTACAACAAATAAATCATCAACCCTCCAAGCAAGCAACTACTCACCTTCGCTGTCAGACTGGTAGCCGCTCTCAGACCCTGGTCCGTGGGGCACCGCACAAGCTTGGGCGCATAGGCACACTCAGACCTTGCTTCCTCAGCTATGCCGGGCCCAGGAGCCAACTGTGCAGTGGCTGGAGAGAAAAGGACCCCCTTCTGTGATGGGAGAGAAGAAAGCCCGTTAGGATCAAAAGCCGAGAGCAGCGAGGGGAATGCCAGCTATAGCCAGCAGATTGTCTGGAGGAATGTCGTCCTAATGACACTGCTTCACATCGGAGCTGTGTACTCCCTCTGCCTCATTCCCAAGGCCCAGCTGCTTACTTTGATCTGGGGTGAGTTCCCTGACAATCGGGGTCTGCTTTGTTATCCCTTTGTAGGAGACCTCTCCTTTCTTGGGCCGGGGGGTTGCTTCTGTTTTCTGAAGGCTGGATTAGTCCTGTGTTCGCGACTGTTCTTTAAAACTAGAGGGGGGGGGAGGGAAGTCGCACATTGGAGCCTAATGTTTCAAAGTCCTCCTTCAGCTTGAATCATGCCGTTCAGCTCCTCTGCTGCATGATTTGCACCCTAGGGCAAAAGGATGATAAACCACCCTGTACTTTTCCCACGAGCAACAGGATCAGCTGGAGGGGGGGTGGAAAACCGAAACAGATTAGAAACTTCATCCCTCTCAACCGATGAGGACATCAATTGGCTGTTTTTAAGCACCTTCCCATAGGAGATGGTCTTGTCTAGTCCCTGTCCCTGTCTCCCAGATCCTGGTAATTTTGACTCATTTCTGAACCAACAGCTCACAGTATTCTCAATGAAACAACTGGGTATGGAAGGGAGAGGGGGAGATGAAATCTTACCTAAGGGCCTGATCTTGTGAGGGGCTGAGCTCCCCACACCTGCACTGAAGTCAGTGGGAGTTGGGGGCACTCAGTACCTAGCAGGATCAGACGCCAGCAGCCTAAAATGCTTCCCACTCTTAATTCTTTGTTTTATATACAGTCCAGGCTGTTGTTACTTTTTCTCCTTACGGGCTCCACTTCCCCCACCCCACCCCCCAGTCCTCCTGCCAGCCTCTTCCCCCTTTTAATGCCTGGTACGTGTAGATGCTATTTGCCTGCTTACATATCCCTAGAGTCACTAACCGAAGAATCCCCCAGGTGTGTCTGTCATATGTGCCCCTGGCATAAAGTAAACCTGCTGGAGATATGCTGAACAGGGCTCTCTGCTCCTTTTCCCCAGCTCCGGCTGGGGCATTGTGGCATGCACCAGGGACTTTGGGGGGCAGCCATGACTTAGGGCTGCAGCCCGGGAAATGCTGAGGCTCGTGCAACTCGTCCCAAATCATCTTCGTTCCTGCGCGTCGGGATTTACAACCGGCCTAACTGCATGCACTCTGATGGGTACGTCAGCATAGCCACTTCTGTTAGCCCCTTTCCCCAAGGTTTAGCTGAGACAAAGGACACAGCCCCTGCTAAGTGCGTGGGTGCAGGTCGACCCCTCTGCGCGGGGGACTTCACTGGGTTTTGTTTGTTTTTAGAAAGCCCATTAGGGGCCAATGCACAATCCCAAAATGCTCGTGCTGCAGCCAAGCGTCCAGCCCCCTGCAACACACACGAGACTTGCTGCTGATGCTTCCCACAAGTGCCGCTGAATCTGGTGGGAGATGAAGGGGTTTGACGCCACCCAGGACAAGGCCCATAAGTAAAGATGTAGAGAGTCAGTGCATGCTGGGAATGTGGAGAGTTATTCAAGGGCCCTTCCACTCCCTGTTTGGTTTGGGGGAGCTGTGTGTTGACATGCTGGCCTGCATAACACGTGGTATGCAGGGAATGGTGCTAAATTCCAGGGCGCTCCGGTTCCCAACCTTCTCCCTCCCCACCCCCACGTATATATTCACTGCTATGCTGATGCTCGCTGCGTTCCTTAATGACAATTATAAGGGCTCGTTGCACTTCCATCCAACCTCTCATCAGAGCATCTCTAAGCACGCTGTTAGCCCAGAGCTACAGAAGGGGAAACTGAGGCATGGGGAGGTTGTCACACTGAGAGCGAGTGGCAGAGGAGGGAGTGGAATGCAGGTCTCCTGGCTCCCACTTGCCAGCTCTAGCTTTTTACTCCTCTGCCTTAAAATAAATGATTGTGCTACTTGAAAGCCACAAGTGTGTGAGCCGGAGTGGCATGGGATGGTACAGGCAGGAGGGAGGTGGAGGGGGTGATAAAGGCTCTAGATCCAGACCGTGTTCATTAGAAGTTGCTCTGTTTCCTTCCTGAATTCCATGTTTGCTTTTAAGAGCAGTGGTAGAGAGATTTCAGCCTCCTGAGAGCACTTGGGCTGGCAGGACAATAAAAGGAGATGAAAACAAGTCAAGTGTAGTATTTGTTCAATGTCTGGCACCTCCTTCTGGAGAGGAGGTGCTTGCACTCACCTCATACGCAGGTAGGGGAGGGATGAGTATTTGATGCTCTGATAGTCCTTTTCTGTTTCTAACCACTCAGATCCCAGCAAAGGTCACATGCTGCAGGGAGCAAGACACACACACCACCCCAGTGAGCGTCACACAAGCTGTCTGAAGGCTCTCAGGGTATGTCTACATTGCAATTAGACGCCTGCGGCTGGCCTGTGCCAACAGGCTCGGGCTAAGGGGCTCTAATTTAATTGTGGTGTAGATGTTTGGGCTTGGGCTGCAGCCCGAGCTCTGGGACACTCCCCCTTGCAAGTCCTAGAGCCCGAGCTCCAGCCCGAGTCTGAACGTCTACAGCACAGTTAGACAGCTCCGAGCCCTTGAGCCCGAGTCAGCTGGCACGGGCCAGCAGCGGGTGTCTAATTGCAGTGTAGACGCTAAATAGAGGCCTCCCTGTCCCCAACCACGCATTTCAATAGAGGGAAGAGAGGGCTGGGGCAGGGGAGGGTTCGGCTGTACTGAACCTGACCTGAGGGCTTTTTGTCAGTGTAACCCATCTCTACTTCAGATCCATTATCCCAAAACCTGCCCACTGAAGTGGTGCCAGGACTGCCAGCTCCATCAGCAGAGCATTGGTTCAAAGGATACACAGCAAAGAGGCCTTGTTAGTCCTATGTCTTTTAAAAGAAACACCCCCGACCCCTCCAGGGTTCACAGGAGGTGGCCTATATCCCAGGCCGAGACTGAGCGCTGCTAGCAGAGGACAGCATCACTGACGCATATAAAGCTTTCTAGATGAAGGTGTTCTCCGTGCTTGTGTCTTTCAAAGACAGATTCTGTATCCCTCACAAATCCATAGCAGCCTCATTATGTCTCTGTTACCTAGGACACCCGTTTGTGGTTTCTGTGCTGAGTCAGCTGTCTGTGGCCTTGATTACCATTGATTGCAATCCCCCTCCCCCCCGCTTCCTTTTAATAATTCCCAGAGGGTTGGGTTTAGTCAGATTATTCTTCCCTCTGCAACATTTCCAAAGTCTCTAAATGGGCATTTTCATGGCTGGCCCTGCTCTTTCCAGAGGTGGTTGTGTTTTGAGACTGGAGGATATATCAAATCTAAATCAAAAGCCCACGCTAGCACTGTTGGACGTAGACCTCGCCTGCTGCAGAAGTAGATCAAACCCTTCCATGACACAGCCAGAGCATGCGTTACCTGCTTAGCCAAGGGAGTTTCCCCATTCTCCCCAAGTGGAAATGACGAAGACAGCCTGGGTTATTTCAGCTGCTGTTCCATCAGCTTTTTGGAATCAAATGTGTTTCAGAGTCAGGCTTTGCAGAGCTGTCGAAAGTTCAAAAGGGAAAAGAATCTGCTCTAATTGTTCATAAAATCTCCCAGTCTTTTGTTCTGTAACAATGTGATCATGCCTTAGACAATACCGCTAGCATAATTCCTGGGATTTCAGTTGCTGTAGAAACAGAACGGAGCCACTTTTTTCAATTACATCCATTACTTTCTTTGATAATTTTTTCTTTTTTTCTGCCCTTTTTTAAGTGGAGGAAAAATATGATGAGCGAAAGGGCTGATCTCTATTAAAATCCATGTGGAAAACAGGTTTGTTTCTCCCTCCCTCCCTCCCTCCCTTTTGCTGCAATGTAGATACCTACCTTTTCTATTTTGGGAGGGTTTAGAAAACCACCCCCTGCTGTATCTTTCTGGGAATGCTGCACACAGCGTAAGGAGAGGGGAGATTTGAAAACCAGACAAGAGTTGTAAGAGCCAAGCAATGAGAAAATAAAGGAGGAGACGGGATGGCTTCTCTTGTCTGTTCTGTAGCTGGCCATGATGAGAAGGAGAAAGCAAAGGTTTGAACTAGGAAAGAGAACCTAACATATAGCTTCCTTTATCTTGTCCCTCCCATCTCCTCCATTGAGAGGAGGCTAAAAGAAAAGAATAGATTGAGTGTTTGAGGTTCTGCCTTATATGTGGATGGAGTGAGTGCCTACCTGGCCGCCTATGGGCTAGTCAAGGAGATAAAATCCTCACTACTGCTGGCAGCTGAATGAAGGTCTCATTTTTCATAAGGGCTACACGTCTGTGGGGTGTTTGAGCTAAGGGAGAAATTATTATTTATTTGTATTGTGAGAGCACCTAGGAGCCCCAGTCCTGGATTCAGGACCTCATTGTGTTATCACAGTACCAAAAGACGGTCCCTGTCCCAAGGAGCTGACTAGCTAGTATTTTGGTTTGCTGTCAAAAGTGCTAAAGGTGACCTGCAATTGATTTTGGTTGCATCCTTCATTTGTTCCTCTGTGGTGTGTAAAGAAGGGCTGGGAAGCTCTTTTTAAGCTTTGTTTTCCTCCTCTTTTCTTCTTCTTTCCAAATCTTAGAAATATCATGGACGTCAAGTCTGGTCTACCGAAGGTTAAAGTCCCTGCCCTGCCACAGACTCCCTGTGTGAACTTGGCCAAGTCACTGAGCCTCTGTTCCCCATCTGTACAATGGGGCTAATAGCACTGCCCTGTCTCCCACGGACGTTGTGGGGGTAAACAATTAAAGACAGTGACATGCTCAGATACTAGGGTAATGGAGGCCATACAAGTACCTTAGCTAGACATCTGGTGAAGGGTAGCAAGGCTTGGTACATGTGTCAGATAATATCTCAATGAACTGGGGTATGACCTTCTCATCCTCCACATTCTGCTGTACCAGTTTAGAGGGTGTGTGGGTTTTCTGTTCTGATGTAGAGGAAGCTATGAAGGGCTAGGGCCTTATGGGGAGAAGGCTGTTAAAATGAAGACCCAGGGCATGTGCTATGCACAGGAAAGGTTGTGGGTAGAGGGTTTTAGCTGGGTAGTAGGAAGGTGCATGTGGAAGGCTTTTAGAAGTGGTTGGAAGTCCTCCTTCACTCCTCCACCTCTCCTTTTTTCCAGCCAGTGACTCCATCCAACATGGACATATTTCCAAGTCCATCTGAATTCAGAACATAGTTTGCAACCCTAAGACTAAATGTTGCTGTCACACCTGCACTAAGATCTCATTTAAGAAATTCTGCTCTCCTTATGGAAACCAAATCCCCATTTATGTTGACAAAGAATGATGTAGGGAGAGCAGAACACTGGAGCCAAGAGCTGACAGAAGCATGTGAGAAAAGAACTCTGTCCATCCAACATTTCCCCCTCATCTTCAGAGGAATCTCTTCTGTATTATTATGAATAATGAATCACAACCAAATTAATATTTGTATCATAGTAGGACCCAGAGATCCCACTCAGGATTGAGCCCCCTCTGTGCTAGGTGCTGTACTAATGTTTTTTTTTTTTTAAATAAAAAGGAAGACAGACCCTGATCCAAAGAGCTTACAATCTAAAGAGACGCAAGGCATGACAAGTAGATCTGGAATGCAGTGGGGAGCAGGGGAGGAAGACCACAGTGACAGTAATAGGGACACAAATTTGCACTGATTGAGTGAGTGAATACTTTGGGGGCTTCACGAGTCAGGGTTTTTAAAAAAGCAAAGAAGAGATAAGAGCATTCTCTTTGGGCCCGAGGTAGCCACGTTTGCTTAAACAAAGTATGTCTAGCTTTCATGGTGCTATGAGAGAACTGCAGGTGCGTGGAGCATGGGGAACAATGAGCTCTCCTAGAACATGTCAGCAGTCAATGTAATCCTTATAAGAGAGAGACCCTGGGTCGTGCTGGTCAAACATCTTCCAGACACGTGGAGCAAGGATGGCAGAATAGGGCCCTCCAGCTACCTCACACGCTCAGGTTTCCAGGCCAAACGTCCCTGCTGTGCTGTATGATTGCAACTAGAGGAGCCAGAACCAAATTGCCACTTCTCCAAGCTTCAGGATAGTTTGGAGCTGGATTTGGATGTGAGCTTTGCAATTCAGGCCCAACTCGACGGGAAGCCTTTTTGCTTCATTAAAAGATGACAGTCACCACGTAGGTGGACTCTTTCTAAGGGCCTGTCTTTCCCCTGAAAGAGAAGGAGCCTACAACCCACAGTGAATCCCTGAGCGGTTGAGCAGGAGGATGATGTGGTTCTCCTGGTTATCAGGACAGCTGGGTTCAATTCCTTCCTCTGCCACAGACTTCACACGTGACCTGAGGCAAGTCACTTCAGGCTGGAGTTTTGACAAAGCTCAGCTCCCAGCTAGGCACCAAAAGAAGTGGCCAGATTTTTTTAGGTTGGACGTTGAGCTCCTTTGAAAGTGTGACCATGAGTCTGTCTGTGCCTCACTTCCCCATCTGTAATATGGGGATAATACGGCAGTGCTGCCTCACACAGGTGTAGTGACAACAAGCAGGTTAAGTAAGAGGTGGTTGGATACTCTGGTGGTGGGAGTGGTATAAATCCCTGGAGGGAGAAGTCAGGCGAGTGGAATCTGTGCACCTCAGAGAGGTAACTGCCTGTAGCGGTCTTCCTGTGTCCCCCCAGGAAGTCATCCCAAGGCACTTTGTAAATGATGTCCAAAGTGCATGTAACACCTCAGGGAGCGACTGCAGTAAGAGGTATGCAGAGCTGTGACTCCCCAGTGGCCAGCACTAGTGTGGGACACGTTCCTAATGCTGTCTCACAAGCAGAGAGTTTTCCATACCATTGGTTGGTTTGTTTGTTTTTCTACGTTCCCTTCCCCTGCAACATCCATATGCAGCCAGTCTCTCCCTGTGTGGTCTGGGGCTGCCACTTCTCTCCCAATACAGGCTGGGATTTCCCTCCCAGCCCCCCTACTGATCCGCTTCCCACTGCTCCCAATTAACTTGTTAATCAGTGAGTCACCGCTTCATGCTAAGCAGAGATGAAGGAGGGCCACCATGCTACCTAGAAAACAGCAGTTACAGCCAAAATGAACACTCAGCAGGATTCGTTTCCATTGGTAACTTACTGAAATGCATCCAGCTGCACATAATAGACAATGGAAAAATTAGGCCAAGGACAAGCCAGTGTCAGTTGTTTACTTAGGATCATCTGTACTTCCCCTTCCCCTGCTTTGACCAGCACCTAGAGAGCTTTATTGTGGCTTGTAAACCACAGCTCACAGGGGCAGGAGAGGGGATGCAGGAGGGCTATCCAGAGACTTTCTGGGTGGCTGAGCCAGGGAGTGCACTGAGGGAGGAGAATCTGCACTACCCTTTCAAGGGATGCAGCATGCAAGCCACTGCCCCCACCAGCCCCTTCCTGCCCCGTCTAGTGCGGGGAGGACTGTGGCACCAGACGGGATCCTGCCCATGACAGTCAATGTCTGTGTAAAGCATATAGAAACGGGGGCTCCAACCCAAAGAACTTGTAAACCGAGTTTATCCTTAGCTATGGTATGAGTTTTACCTTTCACATGGCCTCTGAATAGCACCTTCATGGGTCTGTTTTGCCTACCTGAGAATGGCTATGCTGATGGAGACAGCTCCAGTCTCCCCGGTTTCATCTCCTGAGAACTTCCCCAGGTAATGGCGGGGGGAGCACTCTCAGTTTGATGCATGAGGATTCGTGCCCAGCTCTCCCAGTGAAGTGAATCAGCGGAGCAAAGAATGGGAAAATAAAAGCAGCAATAAAGCAGATTAGGATGGGAGGGGAGCTTCACTCTCCCAGCAGGAGCAGAAAACAGGGAGCAGCAGCCTGAGGACCCATTCCCAGCACCAGCTCCTGAAAACAGGAGGGACTCCCCTGGTGTGAAATAGGATGGTGTGCTGTTAGTCGTTCTGTCTCAGCCCTGCTCAAAGCTGCGTATGTAAACCACCCCTGAAATCCAGACGGCAGCATGGTGGAGGCTGCTCTGCTTCTGACTTCTGTGCGCGACACGTGCCCTGCTTCCCACCAGGGTTAGAAAACCTCCCTCCCCAGCCACTTCTTTGCACTCCCATTGGCGGGAAAATACCAGTGTGTCTCTGAACGTGAGTATGGAAGCAACTCGTCATTGAACTGGAACCCTTCCCATATTTCTATTACTGGCAAGGGTGCCTATTGTCATTTTCTTAACCAACAGACCTTTTCGTTGGTCCTTCTCTCTCTGAGCTCTTTGTTGTGTGCAATCAGTTGTCTTTTATGTTTTCCATACAGTTCCATCTATGTGCTTTTTATTTTAATTTAAGGAAAACAACAAAATAAGAACAAATTTAAAATCTCCAAGAAAGAGAGAGAGCTGGGGGTCTCTCTCACTCCAAAATCCAGTGTTGCCAACACTCACATTTTTATGGGGACACTCACCATATCTGGTGTTTTACTTAAAGCCCCAGCTCCTGGAGTCATGTGATTAATAAGAATCTCAGCTTTAATTTCTTTTTAAAAGTCAGTTTTAGCCCTTTCAGTTAAGGAGAGAAGCTTAGGAATGTGACCTGAGTGCACTCTGCAACCTTAAAAACCAGAAACCTAATAAAGAGAACCCAACATTTATTATTGTTGAAACCTCATAATTAAGTTAATCTCATGGGAGGGTGGGCAACTGACTCATGATTTTTGAACACTTGGGGTTGCTGATACTAAAATCTTCCATCTTCAGTCCTCTCGCAGCTCTAGCAGGCAGACAAGCACCCTTCTTACAATTAAGGATGTGCCAGACTCCGAACAGCTTTCAGCACAAGAATGTTTCCTGGCCAACTGGACTTTGGCCCAAGTGATTATTTCTGTAGTTAGACCCCAGAATCGTTAGACTAACCCCGCTGTCATCATAATGCCTGTGTAGGTGGGAGGTGGCTTTTGTTTTAACAATATTTAGGAGGCATGTTCGTGCTCTTGAAAGGGATGGATGGATAGCACGCGCTGTAAGCAGGGCCTATGCCATTACTAGGCCTTCCCACCCAGCTCTCCTTGTGCACTTCAAGT